AGACCAGTGTCAGCCACCAACAGTGTTCCTGATGACCACCATACCAGCCCTAGTGTCACCAGACCAGTGTAAGCCACCAACAGTGTTCCTGATGACCTCCATACCAGCCCTAGTGTCACCAGACCAGTGTAAGCCACCAACAGTGTTCCTGAGGACCGCCATATCAGTCCCAGTGTCACCAGACCAATGTAAGCCACCACCAAAATGGTCATGCTGAACCATGTTACAGGCAACAGAACGTTCTCCACGGCTTCTCCAGACCCTTTCACGTCTGTCACATGTGCTCAGGGTGAACCTGCTCTCATCTGTGAAAAGCACAGGGCGCCTGTGGTGGACCTGCCAATTCTGGGGTTCAATGGCTAATGCTCATCAAGCTCTATGGTGCCGGGCAGTGAGCACAGGTGCCACTAGAGGACGTCGGGCCCTCAGGCCACCCTCATGAAGTCTGTTTCTGATTGTTTGGTCAGAGACATTCCCATCAGTGGCCTGCTGGAGGTCATTTTGTAGGGCTCTGGCAGTGCTCACCCTGTTCCTCCTTGCACAAAGGAGCAGATACCAGTCCTGCTGATGGGTTAAGGACCTTCTACGGCCCTGTCCAGCTCTCCTAGAGGAACTGCCTGTCTCCTGGAATCTCCTCCATGCTCTTGTCTCCTGGAATCTCCTCCATGCTCTTGTCTCCTGGAATCTCCTCCATTCTCTTGAGACTGTGCTGGGAGACACAGCAAACCTTCTGGCCATGGCACGTATTGATGTGCCATCCTGGAGGAGTTGGACTGCCTGTGTAACCTCTGTAGGGTCCATGTTTGGCCTCATGCTACCAGTAGTGACCATGACCCTAGCCAAATGCAAAACTAGTGAAAAATAGTCATAAAAGATGAGTAGGGAAAAAAATGTAGTGGCCTCTGCCAGTAAAACCATTCCTGTTTTGGGGGTCATCTCATTGTTGCCCAACTAGTGCACCTGTTGTTAATTCTATTAACACCAAAGCAGCTGAAACTGATTAGCACCCCCTCTGTGACTTACCTGACCAGATCAATATCCCAGGAGTTTAATTGACTTGATGATAGACTCAGATTACAAAGTCTGCCTTTCATTTTTTTGAGCTGTGTATGTTGGTCTAGCACTAAATCGTTGAGCTCTAGCATGAATCCTCCTCACCTCTCCGGTCGGGTCTGTGTTTTATTAATAGAGATGAGAGTGATGTCATGTGACCTCCCAGAATCCTCCTCACCTCTCCGGTCAGGTCTGTGTTTTATTAATAGAGATGAGAGTGATGTCATGTGACCTCCCAGAATCCTCCTCACCTCTCCGGTCAGGTCCGTGTTTTATTAATAGAGATGAGAGTGATGTCATGTGACCTCCCAGAATCCTCCTCACCTCTCCGGTCAGGTCCGTGTTTTATTAATAGAGATGAGAGTGATGTCATGTGACCTCCCAGAATCCTCCTCACCTCTCCGGTCAGGTCTGTGTTTTGTTAATAGAGATCAGAGTGATGTCATGTGACCTCCCAGAATCCTCCTCACCTCTCCGGTCAGGTTTGTTTTATTAATAGAGATGAGAGAGATGTCATGTGACCTCCCAGAATCCTCCTCACCTCTCCTGTCAGGTCTGTGTTTTATCAATAGAGATAAGAGTGATGGCATGTGACCTCCCAGAATCCTCCTCACCTCTCCAGTCAGGTCTGTTTTATTAATAGAGATGAGAGAGATGTCATGTGACCTCCCAGAATCCTCCTCACCTCTCCTGTCAGGTCTGTGTTTTATCAATAGAGATAAGAGTGATGTCATGTGACCTCCCAGAATCCTCCTCACCTCTCCGGTCAGGTCTGTGTTTTATTAATAGAGAGAGGAGTGATGTCATGTGACCTCCCAGAATCCCTCTCACCTCTCCGGTCAGGTCCATGTTCTATTAATTAGAGATAAGAGTGATGTCATGTGACCTCCCATAATTCTCACCTCCTCTATGCATAAAAAGTTTCTTAGGGCTCATAGTCTCGTGCAACTCAGGACCTTAGACACATGATCAATTTTGTTATAAAGTAGACAAAAAGTTTGAACACCACGACCATGAGGAGCAGCATTCCTACTTGTTTAAACCATGAAAATATGGAACAAAAAAAATGTCCAAAGTCCCCTAAAACCCTAAAGGGATTCCACCCATCATCAGCAAAATTAATGGTTTAGCGCTACCCTCTAGAGCGCCAGTGAGTTTTTGGGTCTACCCCAAGCTCTGCACAGCCAGGAAACACACATTTTCCATTTTCCACACTTTTTATCCAGGGGCAGACTGACAACTCATGGGGCCTCTGGGCAATTGGGGATCATGGGTTCCCTGTGTCCTTGCCCACACTCAAAACACACTCAAAAAAGAGGCATTTTCTGGGGCCCCCTACTGACCCCGGGCCCTTGGGCAGTGCCCGAGTGCACGAATGGTCAGTCCGCCCCTGCTTTCATCCAACGTCAGTAAAACAGTCCTTGAGCTTGGTTTTTTGTTGTTTTATTTGGGGATAACAACTTGGATGGACTCTAGGTGTGTATGGGATGCCCAATGGAACTTTACAACTTTAGAGGATGTAAGTCTTGGCAAAAAAAAGGCAAAACTGTGATAGGTAGTCAGGGAATTTAATGCATAATTTATGTTCCTTCAATGCCTGTAGGCGCTCCTTGAATTTTGGGCCTATCTGGTTAGGCTTTGAAAAAAGTCTTACTTACAGTATGTGGTATCATCATACCAGGGAGGAGTAATAGAAGGCATTTTGGGGTGAAATTCTAAGTATGTCCATACTGTGTGTTAGGATATTTTATTAATTGATAACTTTGTATAATGTCATTTTCTTTCTGTAGTTTCCAAAAACCTGTGGAAGAAAAATGAAATTTTCCAAATCGCATCATGTCTCCTAAAAAATACCTTGGGGTGGTTACTCTTTAAAATGTTGCCATTTTGTGGGTGTTTCTTCTTTCCTGGCACTTCAGAGCCTCAAGAAATCGGATCGTTAGACAGGAAATCAGAAGCAACATTGATAACATTGGGCAGCACAGTGGCTAAATGGTTAGCACTCCCGCCTGGCAGTACTAGGGTCATTGGTTCAAATCCCAACCACGGCACCTCCTACCTGGAATTTGCATGTTCTCCCTGTGCCTGCGTGGGTTTCCTCCAGGTACTCCGGTTTCCTCCCACACTCCAAAGACATGCTGGTAGGTGAATTGGATCCTGTCTAAATTGTCCCTAGTATGTGTATGTATGAATGTGAGTTAGGGACTTTAGACTGTACGCCCCTTGAGGGTTAGGGACTGATGCAAGTGTACAATATATATGTTAAGCGCTGCGTAAATTGACAGCGTTATAGAAGTACCTGAAATAAATAAATAATAAACCTAGAAAGCCTAAAGGTGCTCCTTGGATTTGGACCCTTCTAAGCAGTAAAAAAGTCTCACACCTGAGGTATTCCCATACTCAGGAGGAGTAAAATAATGTGTTTTAGGGTGTAATTCTCAGTATGGTCATGTTGTGTGTGAGAAATAACTTGTTAAAATGACAACTTTGTCAAATAAAATTTTATTAAAATTTCTTTAATTTTCCAAAAAGATTCTGTAAAAAATTTACAACAATTTCAAACTCGTCGTGCTTCTTACTCAGACTATCTACTTTCCATAGAGGTATCATTTTGGGGGGTGCTTGTGCTGCCCTGGCATTTTAAGGCCTTAAGAATTGAGATAGGCCTCCAGAACATCGGGGACTGATTCATTTTCAAAAATATATCCCATAATTTGTAGACTCTGTCACTTCCACACAGACTAAATATTTTACACCGATTTGCTCATTATTTTAGAAAAATAAAATTTTCACTAAATTTATGAAGAAAAAAATATTTATTTGCATAAATTTATAAGAGAAACTAAGAAAAATGTTTTTTTTTTATTCAAAATTTTCAGGGTTTTTTTTCATTATATATTAAAAATGGTGAAGAAACAAAAGCAAAGGAAAGTTTTACATGTCTCAAAAAAAAAAAGAAAAAAAAGATATAAAATTAATTCGGGGGTCGCATGACCGAGTAATTGTCGGTCAAAGGATCGCTGTGCTGAAAACTAAAAAAAAAATGGCCTCAACAGGAAGGGGGTTTAACATGGCGGTCTTCAAGGGGTTAACAAACAATAAAAACTGAGATAGAATCTAATCCACAATCTGTATAACTGAAGATAATAAACTATAAAATTGGTTGGACCACTGGCAAGCTGGCTTCTTCAGTAAAGCATAAAAAGAACAATAATGTACAGAAATCAATATCAACGAATAAAACGCGTTGTCCGTGTATGGTCATATCTGTCCCTGAAAAACATGCAATGTATTGTGCCCCACCCCCAACACACCACTGTTAACATGAAAAAGGTTGCTAGCTGGTGTGAATTCTCTGATGATGCACAAGGCTTCCTTTCTGAATGAAAGATTTCCCGCACTCTGAACATGAATAAGGACGCTCACCCGTGTGAATTCTCTGGTGCTCATCGAGGGCTTTTTTGTGAATGAAGGATTTCCTGCACTCTGAACATGAATAAGGACGCTCACCCGTGTGAATCTTCTGGTGTGCGTCGAATGCATATTTCCAATTGAAACTTTTCCCACACTCCAAACACGCATAAGGACGCTCGCCCGTATGATCTCTCTGGTGTACAAGAAGTTTCTCTTTCGCAATGAAACCTTTCCCGCACTCTGAACAGGAATAGGGACGCTCCCCTGTGTGAAGCTTCTGGTGTCTAATAAGACTTTTTTTCTCAGTGAAACCGTTCCCGCACTCAGAACACGAAAAGGGAAGCTCGCCCGTGTGACATCTCTGGTGTGCAATAAGAGTTTTTTTTCTCGGGGAAACATTTCCCGCACTCTGAACATGAATAAGGGCACTCACCAGTGTGGCTTCTTTGGTGTATAAGAAGAATTCTTTTCTCAGTGAAACATTTCCCACACTCTGAACAGGGATAGGGGCGTTCACCCGTGTGCATTCTAAGATGTTTAAGAAGATGGTTTTTTCCGAAAGAAACATTTCCCGCATTCTGAACATGAATGTGGACGCTGCCCTGAGTGAATCTTCTGGTGTCTAATAAGATTGTTTTTCAGAGTGAAAGATTTCCCGCACTCTGTGCATGAATAGGGACTCTCAGCTGTGTGACATTTCTTATGTCTAAGAAGTTCTCTCTTTTTTGTGAAAACCTTCCCACACACTGAACATGACAAGGAACTCTCTTTTGTGTGAACTCCTTCTTCACCTGAAGAAGATTCCTCGGAAATAGATGGATCTGGTAGAGGATCTGTACTGTGAGATCTCAGATTCCTGGAATGTGGTTCCTCAGAAGATTCCTCAGACGTATTCTGGACGTTATGGCCATCTGCTGAAAAACAATTTTACAATCAATGTTGTTGGAATTTTCGAAGCCTTCCATTCAGGAGTCATATGTTGGTCTAGAACTAAATCTCTGAGCTCCGGCAGGTCAGTGGGAGCAACCAGAACAGCAAATATCAATTCAATGTAGATAAAGGATAGAAGGAAACCAAATCACACTGAGTGACTGTGCATTGATGGCACTGGTAGATGGAAGAATGGAGATGGAACCGTTCCATGAGGAATGGAGATGGATCCAGTATGGTGTCCAGTATCTCATTTGTTGGGAACATGACGTTATATTGAGGAATGGAGATGGACCTTTCATATGGTGTCCAGTATCTCCTCCTCATTTGTTGGGGACATGACGTTATATTGAGGAATGGAGATGGACCTTTCATATGGTGTCCAGTATCTCCTCCTCATTTGTTGGGAACATGACGTTATATTGAGGAATGGAGATGGACCTTCCATATGGTGTCCAGTATCTCCTCCTCATTTGTTGGGAACATGACGTTATATTGTGAGAATGGAGATGGACCTTTGATATGGTGTCCAGTATCTCCTCCTCATTTGTTGGGAACATGACGTTATATTGAGGGATGGAGATGGACCTTTCATATGGTGTCCAGTATCTCCTCATTTGTTGGGAACATGACGTTATATTGAGGAATGGAGATGGACCTTTGATATGGTGTCCAGTATCTCCTCCTCATTTGTTGGGAACATGACGTTATATTGAGGGATGGAGATGGACCTTTGATATGGTGTCCAGTATCTCCTCCTCATTTGTTGGGAACATGACGTTATATTGAGGAATGGAATGGAGATGGTGTCCACTCCTTCCATATGGTGGAGATCCTAGTATCTATCTCCTCCTCATTTGTTGGGAACATGACATTATACTGAGGAATGGAGATGGACCTTTCATGATTCTCGCATATTGTGTACAATTTCCCACAGTACATTGGGTAATGGCGTAGGTACATTGAGGATGTTCTTACTATCAGCATTTAAAGGTTTCTCAGTCTTTCCTGGAAATAAGGATATCATGTTCACCATTTTGCGCAGCAAAGATTGCATGTAAATAAAATAAAATTTTAAAAAACCTCTGTATACGGAACAGGTGCTTTGTTGTTAGAGCTCTTTGGATGAAGAACAGTCTGGTTCTAGAGGACTCAAAAAATGATTGGATGTTCTTATTACAAATACTATATATGATTATTATTAATGTTCAGAATTTTTATCTGAAGAGTTAACCGATTGCCTTTTGGGGTCAGGAAGGAATCTTTTTAACCTAAAGAAAATGAGGCCTAGTTTTATAGTATATGGGAATTTAGTCCTCCTCTGGAAGAAATACCGCTCTGAAATTTTAATTTTTCTCTTGGATGAATTCAGTACACATAGACCTTTTCTCCTCTGATGTAACAATGTAAATACATACTTTATACTCATAGAAGTAAAATAACAATGGAGAGTGTTTTTCTATATTTAGTGTTTATGACTTACTTGTGTCCATATGTAGAGAAGATTCCTCCGCTTTACTTTTCATAATCCTCTCCCCCTCCTCCATAGACTGCTGATCTCCACTCACCAACGTCTCTTCTTCCTTTTTAATATCTTTCTGTATTTCAGCCTAAACACCAAAAATGGTGGAATACATTTCCAAAATATTATATAGAAGAATGTCATTTTGCACTTCATAATTTTTTACTTCCCCCTTTAGTTCAACCTACCTGATGATGGTGAGGGATGGTGTGATCTTCCTGTGTGGAATCCCAGGAATACAGAGGACGGGGACATCTCTCTGGAGGGTTCCCATGACTGGATCCATCTGTAGGAAACACACACACTGACTGAATCCATTGTTTCTATGTGTTTATCAGATGATGGAGGATCTAGGTCAGGCATGTCCAAAGTCCGGCCCGCGGGCCATTTACAGCCCGGGGATCGGTTTAATACGGCCCTCCAACAGCCCTCCCTGCTCTGTGTAATGTGGCCCTCCCACGTCCCTCCCTTCTATGGCAGACAGTCTTCTGCTTGAGAGCAGAGGGCAGTGCGCATGCCTGACTGCGGCGCGTTCTCCCTGGTCTGTGTAAATGCGGCTGTCGCACGGCCCTCCCTTCTGTGGCAGACAGTCTTCTGCTTGAGAGCAGTGCGCATGCGTGACTGCGTCGCGCTGGGAGCGACAGAGGGCGGTGACGTCAGGGCCGGGCTTCCAGCGTGAAGTGTGTTTCTCTTCCCCTCCCGGCTGCCGAGCAGAAACTTCAGCTCCAGCTACCTTTTTCACCCTTCACATTAGTGCAGGTAAGTTTTTTTTTTATTTATTTGCAATACATTGTGAAAACTCAGCTGTCAGTTGATTTTAATGTTATGAAATGAAAAGTATGTCGTTTGCAATTAACTTGGCCTAAAATAATTTATTTGCATTTAATTGTAATGGTTCAAAGAATGTTTGGAAAAATGTTCGGCCCTCCACCATGTTCACTTCATCCAATCTGGCCTTCTTTGAAAAAAGTTTGGACACCCCTGATCTAGGTGGATCCTCCGTACTGCTCTCTCCTTTCCAATAAAGTCTCCTCTTACCCGGTGATGTGAGGGGCGGCTGATTGTCCATCATGACGTCCTTATAGAGGTCCTTGTGTCCTTTTTAATACTCCCACTCCTCCTAGCTGCTGGGTGATAATGGATCATCAGATGCTTTCTCTCTATACACAGAATTGTAAAGTAGAGGGAAAATTAACAATTGTCACTCCTGACCTCCTACATTCCTCCTCACCTCTGCAGATAGAACAATATTTTAATTACATAGATAAAAATAATGTCATGTGACCCTTCCAGAATCGTCTTCACCTCCTCTTGATCTATACAGGACTCTCCACTCTGTAGAAGGAAAATAAACTGAGAATTTTCTGGACTGTACCGGGATGAATAATGTCTGCAGAATTCCTCTCCAGAGTTCTGACACCTTAGACTGCTTTTAAAGAACAAATCTTTTATTTTTAGCCTTGGAATGACTGGAGAAGGAATAGAAGTTCTATTAAGATTTTTTATTTCTGTGTCCTGGATGGGGAGATATTTTTTCATGTTCTGTGCACCATGTCACCATGTATCTATATTTAGGATGTATCAGGTCTATAAACCAGAGGCTCTGTATGGATGGTGTATGGATAAATGGTTCTATATTTAGGATGTATCAGGTCTATAAACCAGAGGCTCCGGATGGACAGTTGGATAAATGGCTCTATATTTAGGATGTATCCGGTCTATAAACCAGAGGCTCCGGATGGACGGTTGGATAAATGGTTCTATATTTAGCGTATCTGGTTGGATAAATGGGTTCTATATTTAGGACGTATCCGGTCTATAAACCAGAGGCTCTGGATGGACGGTTGGATAAATGGTTCTATATTTAGGACGTATCCGGTCTATAAACCAGAGGTTCTGGATGGACGGTTGGATAAATGGCTCTATATTTAGGACGTATCCGGTCTATAAACCTAGAGGTTATAAACCAGAGGTTGGATGGACGGTTGGATAAATGGCTCTATATGTAGGATGTGTCTCTGTTCATATTAAAAATACTCTATATATATACGTCTGTATTGTAGTATCTGCTGGAGGTAAAAGACGTCACAGTGATGTTGGAGGAAGAGGACGGACATGACAGGGGGGTTACTGGATGTAAATATAAAATAACTCTTATTACCTCCTATGCTGCCGATTGCAAGGATATCCTCCTCTTCTTCCTGCAAACTGTCTTCTCTGTAGGCACCGCCCATCTGCAGTAAGTCACTTCCTGTCTGCACCCTCCAGCACTGCCGATAAGTGAGATCAGCACCTGGTGGAGAAAAGTACCAACTGCAACTTGTGTTTTTAAATACTTTGAAAGTTGCTCCATGGATTGTTCTTCAGTTTTGGCGTCTGGCCACTTTCCATACAAGACAGTTGACTCCTGAAGATAGGTGACTGTATTAGAATGGCCTCCCCTCTGCACTGCTCATGTGCGCCCTCTAGGACACGCTCTGTAATCACTCTATCCATGATACATGGCAGATCACAGAGCTGGGAACAGCCAGGCCCTGTCCAATGTGATCGCTGTGACCAATCACAGCCATCACAACGGCTGCACGTTGGAGTCACCGATCTGTTTTCTCTTACACCGATTGGCTGTGAGAGGAAATAGAGTGCTATCCCAGTGATCGGCACAGACACCGGAGCAGCCAACCAAACTCCCTGATCACTACCAACTCCAGTTCACTATCACCATACCAATGTCCCAAGACCAAGTTAGAAACAGTGTTCCCAATCACCAGCATGAGTCCCAATGTCCCCAGACCAGTGACCAAGACCAAGTTAGAAAAAATATTCCCGATCACCAGCATGAGTCCCAATGTCCCCAGACCAGTGACCAAGACCAAGTTAGAAGCAGTGTTCCTGATCACCAGCATGAGTCCCAATGTCCCCAGACCAGTGACCAAGACCAAGTTAGAAACAGTGTTCCCAATCACCAGCATGAGTCCCAATGTCCCCAGACCAGTGACCAAGACCAAGTTAGAAGCAGTGTTCCCGATCACCAGCATAAGTCCCAATGTCCCCAGACCAATGACCAAGACCAAGTTAGAAACAATGTTCCTGATCACCAGCATGAGTCCGAATGATTCCAAACCAGTGACCAAGACCAAGTTAGAAACAGTGTTCCCAATCACCAGCATGAGTCTCAATGTCCCCAGACCAGTGACCAAGACAGAAGACAGAAGCAGTGTTCCCGATCGCCAACACACCAGTCCCAGTGTTACCAAAACAGAGTATGCAAACAAAAGTGTTCATGAAAACTGGCAAACCAGGGCTGTCTAAGCCAGTAACAGTGTTCCTGATTGATGTCTTACCAGTTCCAGTGTTGCCACTGCAAGCCTGCAACAGTGCTGCTGATTGCTAGCCAAACCAGTCCTGGTGTCACAAGATCAGTGTAAGCCAGCAAAAGTGTTTTTGAACCCCTGTGTCTAGGCAGCTTAAAAGTCTCACACATGAGGTATCCCCATGCTTGGAAGGAGCAGCAGAATGTGTTTTGTGATGTATTTGCCGCGGTTTTCAGCTTTGGAGCATTTTTACAGTCTATGTGTGCATGGACACATAGGATAACATGCTGAAGGTTCTCCTTGGATTTTGAACCCCTCTGTGTCTAGGCAGCTTAAAAGTCTCACACCTGCGGTATCCTCATACTTGGAAGGAGCAGCAGAATGTGTTTTGTGATGTATTTGCTGCGTTTTTCAGCGTTAGAGCTTTTTTGCAGTCTATGTGTGAATGGACACATAGGAGAACATGCTGGGGAGTTTACTAGCTGTAGAAAAAAATGTCAAAAGCCAAAAACAGCCGCTGTAAAAACATCTAGTGTGCATGAGGACTGAAAGCCTGAAGGTGCTCCTTGGATTTTGAACCCCTCTGTGTCTAGGCAGCCTAAAAGTCTCACACATGCGGTACCCCCATGCTTGGAAGGAGCAGCAGAATGTGTTTTGTGATGTATTTGCTGCGGTTTTCAGCGTTAGAGCGTATTTACAGTCTATGTGTGCATGGACACCTAGGATAACATGCTGAAGGTGCTCTTTTGATTTTGAACCCCTCTGTGTCTAGGCAGCTTAAAATTATCACACATGCGGTATCCCCATGCTTGGAAGGAGCAGCAGAATGTGTTTTGTGATGCATCTGTAAATAAACCCACGGTGAGGGTGAGAAATAACTTGTTGAAATGACAACTTTGTGAGACAAAACCAAATTTGACTACATTTCTTATTTTTCCAAAGAGATTCTTGTAAAAAAAAATCGACAAACTCGAGAAACTCACCGTGCCTCTTACTAAATACCTTGAACTGGCTACTTTCCAAAAAAGGGGTCATTTGGAGGGTGCTTGTACTGTCCTGGCATTTTGGGGCCTCAAGAATGGAGACAGGCTGTCAGAACATCAGGATTCATTTTTAATATATAAAACTATAGATTGTAGACTTTATAACTTTCACACAGAATCTCCCCCATATCAGGTCACATGATCTTCACCTTCTATACCCAGCTCTATTATACTAAATAGTAAGATAATATGTATAATGTATAATATTCCCAGAATCCTCCTCACCTCTCCGGTCAGGTCTGTGTTTTTTTAATAGAGATTAGGAGTGATGTCATGTGACCTCCCAGAATCCTCCTCACCTCTCCAGTCAGGTCTGTGTTTTGGAGGAAAGATTTATATTTAGGACGTATCCGGTCTATAAACCAGAGGCTCTGTTTCTTCTTTCCTGGCACTTCAGAGCCTCAATAAATTGGATAGTTAGAGAGCAAATCAGAAGCAACAAACCTAAAAAGCCTAAAGGTGCTCCTTGGATTTGGACCCCTCTAAGCTTCTAAGCAGTAAAAAAAAAAAGTCTCACACCTCTGGTATTCCCATTAAAAAAAAAAATTAAACCTTCAAAAGATTTATCATGCCTCTTTACAAAATACCTTGGGTGTTTTTTTCAGCAAAATCTGGTAATTATGTGGGTGTTTTTACTGTCCTGGTGCTCCAGGGTCTCCAAAAATGTGATAGGTATTCAGGAAAGCAGATATGTAATTTATGCCGCTTGGAAGCCCAAAGGTGCTCCTTGGGTTTTAGGTTCCTTTATGCATCTAGGCTGCAAAAAAAAGTCCCCCATGTTTGGAAGGAGTAGAATGTTTCACGGTGGGGATGGTGTGTTCAGGGGGATGGACAGTGTTAGTTTTCCCCCCACACATAGCGTTTGCTTTTAGGTGAAAAAGGTTCAACTTTGGTCTCCTCTGACCAGAGCCCTTCTTTCCACATGCTTACTGTGTCCCCCACATGGCTTCTCACAAACTGCAGATGGGACTTTTTATGGCTTTCCTCCAACAATGTCTTTCTTCTTGCCACTCTTCCATAAAGGCCAGATTTGTGGAGTGCACCACTAATGGTTATCCTGTGGACAGATTCCCCCACCTGAGCAGCTCCTCCAGAGTTCCCATGGGCCTCTTGACTGCTTCTTTGATGAATGCTCTCCTTGCCCGGCCAATCAGTTTAGGTGGACGGCCATGTCTCGGTAGGTTGGCAGTTGTGCCGTACTCTTTCCATTTTCAGATGATGGATTGAACAGTGCTCCGTGAGATGGTCAAAGCTTGGGAGATTTTATTACAACCTAACCCTACTTTACACTTCTCCACAACTTTATCCCTGACCGGTCTGGTGTGTTCCTTGGCCTTCATGATGCGGTTTGTTCACTAATGTTCTCTAACAAACTTCTGAGGACTTCACAGAACAACTGGATTTATACTGAGATCACATGACACACAGGAGGATTCTATCTACTAATGAGGTGACTTTTGAAGGCAGTTGGTTCCACTAGATTTTAGTTAGGGGTTTCAGAGTAAAGGAGGCTGAATACAAATGCACGCCACACTTTTCAGATATTTATTTATAAAAAATTTTGAAAACCATTTATCAGTTTCCTTCCACTTCACAATTATGTGCCACTGTGTGTTGGTCTATCACATCCAATCCCAATAAATACATTTTCATTTTTGGTTGTAACATGACAAAAATATGGAAAATGTCAAGGGGTGTGAAAACTTTTTCAAGGCACTGTATCTTGGAGAGTCTACTTTCCAAATCTTGTGGGTGTTTCTGTCGTACTGGTGCTCCAGGACCTCCAAAATGTGATAGGTAGTTAGGAAATTAGATGTGAAATTTATGCCTCTTAAAAGGCAGGTTCTCCTTGGGTTTTGGACCTCTCTATGGGGAAGATGTACAAAAACTGGTGCACTCAAAATCTGATACAGCCGTGCCTGGTAGCCAGTCAGCTTTTACCTTCAGCTTATTCAATTTAACTTTGACAATAAAACTTGGACGCTGATTGGTTTCCATGCAGAGCTGTACCAGATATTGCTCCATGCAGTTTTAGTACAGACCCAGGAACTCAGCACAGTGATAGTGGAAGCCCCTCATAATGGGCACAGCCGGTGTATAGACCTGGGAACACAGCACAAAGATGGTGGGAACCCCTCATAATGGGCACAGCAGGGGTACAGACCCGGTAACTAAGCACAAGGATGGTGGGAAGCCCTCATAATGGGCACAGCGGCTGTACAGTCCCAGGAACTCAGCACAGGTATGGTGGGAACCCCTCATAATGGGGACAGCAGGGGTACAGACTCCAAAACTAAGCACAGGGATGGTGGGAACCCCACATATTGGGTACAGCGGTTGTACAAACCTGGGGACTCAGCACAAGGATGGCGGGGACCCCTAATAATGGACACAGCAGGTGTACAGACCCGGGAACTCAGCACAGGGATGGTGGGAACCCCTCATGAGCACAGCAGATGTACAGACCTGGGAACTTAGCACAGGGATAGTGGGAACCCCTCATAATGAGTACAGCAGATGTACAGACTTGGGAACACTGCACAAGGATGGTGGGAACCACTCATAATGAACACAGCGGGTGTACAGACCCGGGAACTTCGCACAGGGGTGGTGGAAACCCCTCATAATGGGCACAGCGGGCGTACAGACCCAGGAACTCAGCACAGGGATGGTGGGAACCCCTCATAATGGGCACAGCGGGTGTACCTCATAATGGGCACAGCGGGTGTACAGAACCGGGAACTCAGAATAGAGATGGTGGGAACCCCTCATAATGAGCACAGGTGTACAGACCCAGGAACTCAGCACAGGGATAGTGGAAAACCCCTCATAATGGGCACAGCGTGCGTACAGACCAAGGAATTCAGCACAGGGATGGTGGGAACCCTCATAATGGGCACAGCGGGTGTACAGACCCGGGAACTCAGCACAGGGATGGTGGGAACCCCTCAAAATGGGCACAACGGGCGTACAGACCCAGGAACTCAGCACAGGGATGGTGGGAACCCCTCATAATGGCCACAGCGGGCGTACAGACCCAGGAACTCAGCACAGGGATGGTGGGAACCCCTCATAATGGGCACAGCGGGTGTACAGACCTATGAACTCAGAATAGAGATGGTGGGAACCCCTCATAATGGGCACAGCTGGTGTACAAACCCGGGAGAGTACTGTAAAGTGCGGAGCATTCTTGTTTATTTTTTGGAAATTCAGAATTAGTAACAAACAATAAAATCTCCATCAAATCTCATGTAACTGAAGAATATAAAATGTATCCATTATCGGTTGGACCAATGACAAGACAGCTTCTTCAGCAGAACATAAAAAGGCCAATAATGTCCACAATCCGATATCGACCAATGAAACGTGTTGTCCGTGTGTGGTCAGATCTGGCCGTGTATCAGCACAGTTCAGATCTATGATGCGGTCTGTGTGAGTGCGGGACCGGGTCAGAGCTGTACGTTTAGAGGATCGAATCACCATAATTTTTGCCCCGCCCCCCCCCAACGCACCAATCTGAACACGAGAAAGGTTGTTATCTCCTGTGAATTTTCTGGTGTGCAAGAAGTAATTTTTTGTAACCAAAACATTTCCCACACTCTGTACACGAATAAGGACGCACACTCGCACGCTCGTGAATCTTCTGATGTGACACAAGTGCATTTTTCTGAATGAATCTTTTCCCGCACTCCGAACATGAATAAGGACGTTCACCCGTGTGAATTCTCTGGTGTCTAATTAGTTTCTCTTTCTGGGTGAAACCCTTCCCGCACTCTGAACAGGAATAGGGACGCTCACCCGTGTGACTTCTTTGGTGTCTAATGAGGCTGTTTTTCTCAGTGAAACAACTCCCGCACTCTGAACAGGAATAAAGACGCTCACCCGTGTGAACTTTCTGGTGTTTAACAAGGTCTCCTTTCAGAATGAAAGATTTCCAGCACTCTGAACATGAATAGGGACGCTCACCTGTGTGAATCTTCTGGTGCGTCACAAGTGACCATTTCCAAATGAAACTTTTCCCGCACTCTGAACATGAATAAGGGCGCTCACCTGTGTGACTTCTCTGGTGTCTAAGAAGACTCTTTTTCTCAGTGAAACATTTCTCACACTCTGAACATGAATAGGGACGTTCACCTGTGTGTATTTTCTGGTGTTTTACAAGGCTTCCTTTCTCAGCAAAACACACTTCCGCACTCTGAACAAGAAAAGGGACGCTCACACCTGTGTGAATTCTTCGATGCTTAACAAGGTTTCCTTTCTGAGTGAAACATTTCCCACACTCTGAACATGAATAGGGACGCTCATCAGTGTGACATTTCTTGTGCTGAAGGAGGTCTCTGTTTTCTGTGAAACATTTCCCACACCCTGAGCATGAAAATGAACTACCTATTAAAGTATCAGTACTGTGAGATCTTAGAGTCCTGGTATGTGAGTTATCAGAGGATTCTTCAGACATATCACAGATATTATGGCCATCTGCTGAAAAACAATTTTACAATAAATGCTGTAAGAATTTCTGAAACCTTCCAGTCAGGAGTCATATATATGTATCTAGCACTAAATATTGGAGCTCTGCCAAGCAAGCGGGTGCAATCAGACGGAAAATGATGAACAAAAACCAGACAAAGCAACCAAATCACACTGAGTAACTTTGTGAATTCATGACATTGTTACTGTGAGAATGGAGATGGACCTTCCATATGGTGTCCAGTATCTCCTCTTCATTTGTTGGGAACATGACATTATATTGAGGAATGGAGATGGACCTTTCATATGGTGTCCAGTATCTCCTCCTCATTTGTTGGGAACATGACGTTATATTGAGGAATGGAGATGGACCTTCCATATGGTGTCCAGTATCTCCTCCTCATTTGTTGGGAACATGACGTTCTATTGAGGAATGGAGATGGACCTTTCATATGGTGTCCAGTATCTCCTCATTTGTTGGGAACATGACGTTATATTGAGGAATGGAGATGGCCCTTTCATATGGTGTCCAGTATCTCCTCCTCATTTGTTGGGAACATGACGTTATATTGGGGAATGGAGATGGACCTTTCATATGGTGTCCAGTATCTCCTCCGCATTTGTTGGGAACATAATGTTATATTGAGGAATGGAGATGGACCTTTCATATGGTGTCCAGTATCTCCTCCTCAATTCTTGAGAACATGACGTTATAATGAGGAATGGAGATGGACCTTTCATATGGTGTCCAGTATCTCCTCCTCATTTGTTGGGAACATGAAGTTATATTGTGGAATGGAGATGGACCTTTCATATGGTGTCCAGTATCTCCTCCTCATTTGTTGGGAACATGACGTTATATTGTGGAATGGAGATGGACCTTTCATATGGTGTCCAGTATTTCATCATTTGTTGGAAGCATGACGTTATATTGAGGAATGGAGATGGACCTTTCATATGGTGTCCATTATCTCCTCCTCATTTGTTGGGAACATGACGTTTATATTAAGGAATGGAGATGGACCTTCCATATGGTGTCTAGTATCTCCTCCTCATTTGTTGGGAACATGATGTTATATTGAGGAATGGAGATGGACCTTTCATATGGTGTCCAGTATCTCCTCCTCATTTGTTGGCAACATGATGTTATATTGAGGAATGGAGATGGACCTTTCATATGGTGTCCAGTATCTCCTCCTCAATTCTTGAGAACATGACGTTATAAATGAGGAATGGAGATGGACCTTTCATATGGTGTCCAGTATCTCCTCACTTGTTGGGAACATGGCGTTATATTGAGGAATGGAGATGGACCTTTCATATGGTGTCCAGTATCTCCTCCTCATTTGTTGGGAACATGACGTTATATTGAGGAATGGAGATGGACCTTTCATATGCTGTCCAGTATCTCCTCCTCATTTGTTGGGGAACATGACGTTATATTGAGGAATGGAGATGGACATTCCATATGGTGTCCAGTATCTCCTCCTCATTTGTTGGGAACATGATGTTATATTGAGGAATGGAGATGGACCTTCCATATGGTGTACATATGGTCACATCTAAGAACTGGCAAGCTTAAATATAATAAATGTTTGCTTTTGGGTTTAATACCACTTTAATATTTACTACTTACTTGTGTCCATGTGTAGAGAAGATTCCTTCATCGACCACTGATCTTCTTCTTCCTCTTTAACCTCAACTTTGATGATTTTCAGTTCTTCACCCTAAACCCCAAAGATGATAGATTACATGGAATATTGAAATCTCATAGATTAAGATATGCTTTTATGTCTACATGCTCAGTCCCACCTACCTGATGATGGTGAGGGATGGTGTGACCTTCCTGTGTGGAATCCCGGGAATACAGAGGACATCTCTCTGGTGGGTTCCCATGACTGGATCCATCTGTAGGAAACACACACACTGACTGAATCCATTGTTTCTACGTGTTTATCAGATGATGGGGGATCTAGGTGGACCCTCCGTACTGCTCTCTCCTTTACAATAAAGTCTCCTCTTACACGGTGATGTGAGGGGCGGCTGATTGTCCATCATGACGTCCTTGTAGAGGTCCTTGTGTCCTTCTAAATACACACACTAAAGTCTCCTCTTACCCGGTGATATGAGGGGAATGTGATTCTCTCTCATTACGTCGTTGTAGAGATCATATTACCTGATATGAAGGTCTACAAATTCTGAATCATCAATCTATATACTTAAACAGTTTCTGTATTTAGTGTTCATCACTCACCAGTGTGGATACACAAAGAAGATTCCTTCTCTTTAGTTGGCATCATCATCTCTACTTCCTCTGTAGATTCCTGATAATTTATCATAGATATCACCTCCTCTTCCTCTTTAACCACAACCTTCACGTACATCTGTTCTTCATGCTAAACCAACAAAAATTTAAAAATGAATCTTTAAGTGTGAGGACCAATATGCTGAGAGTATAATTTTATACCGTCCAGTCATTTTTGTGATCTACCTGGCGATGGTGAGGGATGATGGGATGTTCCCTGTGTGGAATCCCAGGAATACAGAGGATGGGGACATCTCTCTGGTGGGTTCCCATGACTGGATCCATCTGTAGGAAACACACACACACTGACGGAATCCATTGTTTCTATGTGTTTATCAGATGATGGGGGATCTAGGTGGACCCTCCGTACTGCTCTCTCCTTTACAATAAAGTCTCCTCTTACCCGGTGATGTGAGGGGCGGCTGATTGTCCATCATGACATCCTTGTAGAGATCCTTGTGTCCTTCTAAATACTCCCACTCCTCCATGGAGAAATAGACAGTGACACCCTGACACCTTATAGGAACCTGACACACACAATGATACAGTCACCATCCAGACACATCCCTTACTTTATTGGAAATAACAGAAGTCACAGTGACTATGGAGAAAGAGGATGGAGGAAGAGGAGGGACATCACAGTGACTATGGAGGAAGAGGACGGACATTTCGGTGACTATAGAGGAAAAGGAAGGACAGTGACTATGGAGGAAGAGGACGGACATCTAGGTGACTATAGAGGAAAAGGAAGGACAGTGACTATGGAGGAAGAGAGACGAACTTCACGGTGACTACGGAGGAAGAGGACGGACTTCACGGTGACTACGGAGGAAGAGGACGGACTTCACGGTGACTACGGAGGAAGAGGACGGACTTCACGGTGACTACGGAGGAAGAGGACGGACTTCACGGTGACTACGGAGGAAGAGGACGGACTTCACGGTGACTACGGAGGAAGAGGACGGACTTCACGGTGACTACGGAGGAAGAGGACGGACTTCACGGTGACTACGGAGGAAGAAGACGGACATCACGGTGACTACGGAAAGAAGAGGACGGACATCGCGGTGACTATGGAAGAAGAGGACGGACATCGCGGTGACTATGGAAGAAGAGGACGGACATCGCGGTGACTATGGAAGAAGAGGACGGACATCGCGGGTGACTATGGAAGAAGAGGACGGACATCGCAGTGACTATGAAGGAAGATGACAGACATGACGGGGGGGGGAGGGTTTACTGGGCATAAACATGAAATAACATCTTAATACCTCCTCTGCTGCCAGTTCCAGCAATATCTGCCTCTACTTCCTCCAAGCGTTCCTTTCACCCGGAACCTCCTGGCTGTAGATGACATCATTTCCTGTCTGCAGATGACATTACTTCCAGGCAAAAAGTCTCCAGAAATGAATTCGGCATTCACATCTGAGCAGATCATTTTCCTGGTGATTTTGAAGTTTTTTTTCCCCAGTCCTTGTTCAGGTTCCTTGTGCATGTATCAGGTTTAGGAGTTTGTGTCTCGGGCTGGGTAAGAGGAGGAGAGCAGTTCTGTAGGAGGAGAGAAATTATTGCGTTTACAAGCACTCCCGTTGAAGTCTGTGGGGTCAAAAATGCCTGAATACACCCCAAAAACACCTCAGATACTTTTTTGAGTGTAGGGTAACTAAGCATACGAACATGAACAGGAACTGCTGTGACTAGTGATTACAGACACTGTCTGGCTTCTCTGAATGAATGAAACTCTGTATGCCAGTGCAGCCAGCCAGTGTCTCTAATCACTAGCCACAGCAGTATAGTGTCACCAAACGTGCAGCCAGTTTCAGTGTTCCTGATCGCCACTACACCAGTTCCCATGTTTCCAGACCAGTGTGGCCAGAAACAGAGTTCTTGATTGCTGCCCCAGCAATCCCAGAGTCTCCAGACCAGTGCAAGTCCTCAATAATGTTCCTGATCATCTCCACACCAGTCCAAGTGAGACTAGACCAGTGTAAGCCAGCAACAATGTTCCTGATCTCTGCCACACCAGTCCCAGAGTCTCCATACCAGTGTAAGTCCTCAATAATGTTCCTGATCATCTCCACACCAGTCCAAGTGAGACTAGACCAGTGTAAACCAGCAACGGTGTTCCTGATCACTGCCACACCAGCCTCAGAGTCTCCAGAACAATGTAGTCATCAGCAGTGTTCCTGATCACCGCCACACCAGTGTTAATGTCATCAGACCATTGCAAGCCAGCAACCATGTTCCTGATTGCCACAACACCTGTATAGCATCACAAGACCAGATCAACAGTGTAGCTGATTGCTGCTACACCAGTCCCAGTGTCAGCAGGTCAGTGCAGCCAGCAACAGTGTTTCTGATCACCACTGCACAAGCCCCTGTGTCACCCGACCAGTGCAGCTACCACACAAGTCCCATTGTCACCAGAC